TATTTTCATGTCTAAATTCTCTTTTCCAAAATGTCAATTTTCTTTTGAAAGGCTTCAAAATCCATTTTCAATTGTTCATTTTCTTTTTCCAAATAAATCTTTGCCTTCATTAAGAAATCATTTTCAACATTAAATTTTGAAATCATTTTCTTTTATTTCAAATTAATTTTTCTCAAATTCACATAAATATTTTCAAACCTTTTGCCAATGAATACAACTTTGTTAAATCAATGTCAATCACACAGCATAAATGAGAACAAAAAAAAAACTCTAAATCCTCTATCACAAAGATGACTAATGCCTAATAAGTTATGCTTTAAACCTTCAACAAGTAAAACGTGCTTGATTTGAATTTGAGAATTGTTACTAGTGGTTTCAATTCCTTGGATGATACATTTAAAGTTGTCAGCAAAAAAGACACTATCATTTTTCTTTCTGTCAAGCTTGACAAATAAATTTTCATTTTCGATCATATGCCTTGAGCAACCAATATCCAAGTACCAAGGTTGCTTTTCCCTTGGTTGAACTTTCAAATATTGTTCTTTTTGCTCTTGTTCAACTTACAAAATAATTTTTTATTTTTTATTCAAAGGTACTCATACTTTGATAGGTCTTTAGGGGTTATTAAATATATAAGAACTTTTAGACACCGAAACCATCTTGGTTTTAAGGAGGCTATTACCCTTATAATAACAATTATAAAAGAAATTACCTTTTTTGCCACAAGCACAATAATGGAATAACGATGCATCGTTTTACATCTTAAAAATGGCATTTACTATTGGTTTATCTTCTTTGTTCAATTTCAATTTTGAAATCTCTTCTATTGAAGCTTTGAGAACATCATTCTCAACCAATGCCTTTTGCAAGGCCTCATTTTTACTCTTTAGTTCCAACTTCAAAGATTCAGAATCTATTTTGCAATACTCCAACTCAATTTGAAAAATATTTCTTTGATTACAGACATATTTCAAATCACATTTAATCTTTTCTAATTCATCATCTAAAGAAAAAGCTTTCTTTTTCAAAACTGTATACTTTAGAGCATACAAACAATCATGTTAATCTTGCATTTCATCATAAGATATGTTAGATAATTCATAAATTACCTTAAGTTCTTCATCTTTGGCCGTCAAGCAAAAGTTGGTTCTCACTTCTACTTTTTTCTTGATCTCTTGTTCATCTGTGAGGGGTGAGCCATATATCTTATCTAGGATGATGACATTTAGATTTTTAGCTTCTTAAATTACTATCACCTTTGGCTTCTAGCTTTTTGGTAAGCTTTTGAGTAGCCTTTTTACCAATTCATGTTCTGGAATTACTTTTCCAAGTTGCTTAAGCTTGTTGGTAATGTTTGTAAATTGATCATGCATGATAGTGATGTCTTCTCCCAATTCCATTTTGAACAATTCATGGCTGTAAGTGAGAAGGGTTATGTTTAACTCCTTGACTTGGGAAATCCTTTCATGGATGACCTTTAGATTCTTCCAAATTTCCTTGGCGTTGCTGTATGTAGAGATTTTATTAAACTCTATAGGACTCAATGAACAACAAAGAGTGTTGATGGCTTTGAAGGTTATTTGAACTTTCCTCATTTCAGCTTCTGTCCCCTTACCTCTATTTTGGGAGTTTTCTCACCAATAATCAAATTTACGTTAATAGGAATGAAAGAGCCTTTGGTAATGACATCTCACATTTTTTAGTCAATAGTTCTAATATAAATAGATATCCTAGTGCTCTAATACTGGTAATTTGTTCCATCAAATATAGAAAGCTTATTTGTGGATTGACCCTCGGCCATATTAAAATTTTAAACAACCATTGGATCTTCCCTTTAGGATGTTAAGCCTTTAAAATCAAGAGTTAGACTTTGATACCCCTTGTTAGTCCCAAAAAAGGTGCTATAGGGGGGTGAATAGCACTTAAAAATATTTTTGAGGGTAGCTCTTAAAATTTAAAATTTGTTTGGAAGATTTAAGACGGATGGTTTGAAAACTTGTTGAGATTAGTAAACACCAAGTAAATAGAGGTTCAGAGAAGTAGACAAAACATAATATTTATAGTGGTTCGAACCACCTAACCTACATGCACTACTTTAATTTTCCTAATCAAAGATTTTCAACCCAACTTCACTTGAACTAGTGAAATTAACAGCTTCCACTAAGTTTTTACAAGGTAAGCTTTTAACCCAATCTCTTACCTTTTTACAACAAGTCCTAAGCTTACCTTAACTTAGACTATCCCTTAGAGTGTCTCGTACACTCTAAGTAAACAAGAAATAAAAGATAAAATGAGGTACAAATGATCAACTAACTTATCTAAGTTGTACAAGCTTCAACTCAAGCACTTTCACAAAGATAAGAATGGAATACAAGTGTAAAAGAGAAGGTTTTTACTTTTCTAAGCTCTCTCAAACTCCTTGGAACTACTCTTAATCATTTTTTACTATTATAGAGGCTTTAAATGCTTAAAAAATCAATTCTGACCGTTGGAGACAGAAACTAGCCATTATAAACAGTTTTTGACCGTTATTTTGTCCTTTGGTGCTTAAATTCAAATGTGGAAACAGTTCTTCATTAACCAATTAAGGACAAGCTTTAACCGTTTATGCCTTCTCTGACTTGCACATTGCTTTTCTGTATTAACAAGTTAATGACAGCTTTAATTGATTAATAACTCTTATTTTTCAAGCAACTTTAAACATTATATTTCATCAATCATTCTTTAACTGATTAGAGTTCCTACTAACTGATTGAGACCTTTCTCTTTTCATCCATAATTGATTAAAATGGGCTCCAACCAATTAAGAATTCTTCAATTTTGAATCTCTTCGTTTGACGCTTTTAGACAGTCAACTTCATTTTGAATTTGAGTTTTGGCGCTTTTAAGTGCTTCAAGTTTGATCCTTAATCAATTAACCCCTTTGGTTAACTGATTAATAACTCTATTTTGTATCTAATACCTGTTTAATTGATTAAATCTTGTGTTAACTAATTAAGACCTTTCAGCTTGTTTTTAGTCTATCGCCAAAAATTGCTTTAAATGATTAAGGATTTACGTTAATCGGTTAAAACTAATTTGTCTTCATTAAAGCTCCTTTTTTTATGCTTGTTTAACTAAGTACCCCATCTTGAAACTAAACAGGCATCTTGACTTGCTTTCAAATATCAAATATCTCAATAAATTTAAGCTTTATCCTACACACTTAAATAATATGCTTAGACACCAATTAATGGAAATGTTTCGTTATCATCGACAAAACATGGAGTCAACATTCTCTCTTTCTTATTTTTTATGATGACAAAACACTCCTAGATTAAGAGTGCAATATCTATGTTCACTATGAATGCTTTAAATCTTTATGCATAATGAGGATTGCTCCCCCTTAATTAATGCATCTAGTTTTCTTTAAAGATTTGCAATAAAATATTTATAATATCGATAATAGCTAAACAAGATATACAATATTCACAATAGCTAAGCAAGATATATCAAATATCCACAATAACTAGTACATAATATTTAACAAAACTATAGCTAAGTATCACACACATATATTAAATATAAAGACCTATCCAACTCTATCAAACTTAGTTTTCCTTCTCTCCTTTTTTGTCATCATTAAAAAAGATATTCAAAACTCTCCCTTAATGAATGCATCTAGATTTTCCTTTAATCTTTAAATTAGACTTTAATGAATGGGAATCATAAGCACTAATACAACTAAGTCATACAAGCTTATAGATATAGTTTAATAACTTCAAGAGTCAAGCTTGGAAGTATGTAAGAACAAATATATGAGAGCTAAATCATTTCAAAAACTTATCAAGGATCACTCAAATAATGTTTAAGCAAATTTGATCAATTTGTTATAATCAAAACTATAATAATTTTAAAGCTAACAAGAGTGAGGGCGTGGGGTCGAGAGGCAAGAGAGACAGAGCGATAGAGAGGAGTAGGGTGAAAGAAATGGCGGAAAAAGGCCGCATGAGGGGAAGGTGTTAATTTATCTTACCGATGAAAATTTTTATCAATAATTAAAAAATAATTATCAACGAAAATTTCATCAGTAACCTTCCTAACCCTTGAAATACTCTCATTGACTGAACTTCCATCGACAAATCTATTAGCAATTGAACAAAATTATCGATCAAATATTCCATTACTAATGTGGTTGGCAAATTCCATCAATGAAGAAATTACTGATAAAAATATTCCATCGGTAAACTTCGCACCATCTATCTACATTGCACGTCATTTTTTTACCGATGGAATTCATTTCGTCGATATTTTTTTTTAAAGGGTAATCTGTCGACAGTTATTGTAGTATGAATCCGTCAATAATCCATCAATGTTTCATCGGTAATTATTAACGAAACATTAACGACAAAATTGATTCCGTTAGTAAAACTCTATTATTATTATTTTTTTCTTGTATATCTAAGATATAAGTCAAAACAATTACCCTAAACTCAAACATGTTTAACTTGATATTATATTTGTACTGTGTTGTCGTGTGATATAAAAAAAATCAAGTCTAACAGAAGGTGTTCTCATTTTGCGAATCAAATGGTTCCTTAACTGAAAACCACGTGTAAAATGTAAACGGAAAATCATTCTTCAAATCTACACATCTTATCTTTTCAACTGCTGCACCCTCATCTAAGTTTAATTTCTACCCTTTCCGCATCAATCTTGCCTTCTTGTAAAAGAAATGTAAATTACATTTATGGTCCTCAAAGTTTAGGGCTCATGCCATTTTGGTTTCACAGTTCAAAAAGTAACTTACTTTCTTTGTTATAACGAAGTAAGCCTTCTTTCAATGTTGTTCCCCTTCCCCGCTCTCCCAATTCCCTCTTTCTCTCTCCTCCATGGATTTTTTTTGAAAAAATATTTAGTACAATATTTTTAAAAAGATAAATGATGTGATTCTTCTCAGACACGTGAGAGGCGCTTATTGACATATTTGACCATATGTTTGACTGATAAAATTAATCAAACGTGCAGGTTAATTGATGAAAGTACAGTTCGAGTACTAAATATCAAATTAACAATTTCCCGATAACTCGAGTATCAAATATGTAAGCTCTTAAGATCAACATTCAACTAAAAAGAAAAAGATTAAGTGTTAACAAAACTAATTTGAGAAGGACAAAAAACAAGTGGAATAATGATATTAGCCATAGGGCATTGCTATTGGTCTGGTCTGGCCTGGCCTGGAATCGGATAATAATGAACTCAGTGTTCCTTCAGCATTATTAAATCAAAATCAAGAAAGCGAAATATCAGTCACCTCGCTCCAAAATACCAGATAAGACAAGTCCGTACTATTGGCAAACGAGTCCCGAAAAGGAAAAGAAAAAGTTGGAGGTGTGTTTGGCCGAAGAATAGAGAGGAAAAGAAAGAAGGAAACATGTCATATCGAACGGCCAGGAAAAGAGCTCATAACCACCGAGTTGGTACAATATTTGATTCTTTTCTCCCCCGATAGCGAACAGACCTCAAATGAAAACAACCGCCTGTTCCCTTCTTTAAAAGACAAATAAACATTTGCTCCAAGAAATGAAAATCGAACCATTTATTCCAAGGCAGAAGAACATATCTGATTAAACGTACCGCTCATACTAATTAACATTTTTAATCAATTAGTATATAAAATGGAATATCAGATCTATAATCTATTTTATCATAGAAAAAAAAAAAGCTTTAAAGCCTCTTGAGCATTTGCAGGGGAAATAGAAACAAGAAACAAGAGGAAAAGAAGGGAGAGCGAAAGAACAGAATACCACTGGAGAGCAGAGCATCTACAATTATGAGGATCAAAGCATTCGATGGCCGCCATTCAAATGCTTTGAGTACTTTTCACATTTTCCTGAAACAGAACAGTTTGATAAACATGCAAGAAGAAGAAGAAGAAGAAAAGCCATCTACAACTAGTAATACAAGACCAAACGCCTGGAACATAAGGTGCAGGAATATTTTCTCTTAATCTTGAAGCAAATGGGTAAGAAACAGAACCTCCACCGACTCTCAACATCAGCCGCTACCACCTTGCCCCCACAGTGCGGACAACACCCAGGCGCTTGCTGTCTCCCCAACTCTCTCTCTTGCTCGTCACACAAAAATACCAAACACATATTCGATTTGCTTTGCGGGCAGAAATGTTTTTCTCCGCTGGGTTCAGGGAAAGAGGCTGGGCTTCTTGTATTGATCTGAGAACTCAGATTGGGACGGTTTGAGCAGATGTTGAACCGTGAAAAGTAATGTGAACAGAAACAACAAAAAGGAGCTCCAGCCGTATAAAAAGTTGTCGTAGCAGTATTTATAGATAGTTTGGCAGATAACTCTTATGGTGGGTATCTTTTCCTTTACAGCTTTGTTTTGCAGTTTTACCTTTATTTTATTAACTCTTAATCCTTCTCTTCTTCTAAAAGTAATCTTTTTTATTTTTAGATTTTGAAATAAATTAGTCATTTTCTTTAAGCTGTTTCAAATTTAGGCTGTCATAAAATATTATATAGAGAAATGGCCCATCTTCTTTACTGGTAATTAGTAAATAAATAAATAAATAATTGCAGTCGGTGGGGAGGGATCAACGGGTCAAATAAATGATGCGTCCTGAGGCCTAACGCCTACTAGGGGACTTGACTCATGGAAATAAAACATAAAATTGTGCATGAATGGACTTTTCCTCCCCTGCACACAATACTTTTCTGATGATAATAAATAGGTTTTACTTCAGAAACCGATGACTTTTGATTTCTAATTTTCTCTATCAAATCTGTTGAAGTCATATTAAAAATAAGAGGAGTTTTTATTTCTTAAATTATTATATTTATAGAAAAATTTAAATTTTATATGTTATAAAGATTAGTTTTATATATATGGTTAATTTTATTGATAATCTAATTTTAACTTGACATTGCAATCTAGGTAACCAATAATATTATAACCCTAACTAAACAATGTGCAAAATTATCTTAACATTCCCCTCAAGCTCAAATTAGTAAGATAAATGTCAACTTGAGTTTAGGGTAAATTTTATAGTAATGCTAACTTTAATGTAAGGATTTATGATGGTCAAAATATTGACGTAAATATATAAAATTTAATATAACAAGAAATAATAATTTTTATTGAATTAAATTAGTTAGATATTTTATTAATATTAAAAATAATAATATTCTTATATTTTAAAATAAAAATATAATAAAAATTAAATAATATTCACAATAAAATAGATAAATTTAAAAATTATCTATGTTACTAATTAACATAAAATAGATAAGTTTATAAATTAGTTTTGCTGTTTACTTGTTAATTTATTACATAGGTTTTTATTACTTTTAAAAAAATTATTTTAATTGATCTTACAGTAAAATTAACCTTATTGTATAATTCATCTGAATTTAGAAAACAAGGCAAACTAAATCTTGAAATTAACCAATGGCTACATGACGTAGTGATGTGACGAAACAAGATACAAAAGATAACATCACAATACACGTGTCAAGTAACAAGACAAAACACGATAATAAAATGATGTAACTGAACACATCGTAAATAGTTAACTTTCAAATGATATTATAAGAACACATGGTAACTGACGTATCAGATGAACTATAGTAATTGAAGACGTCAATAAATAATTTGTATGTGAAAGAGCAGTTATCTACGCATTATTTTAACAGTTATAATTAGCATTATTACTTTTTCAATGTTCTATGTAGGATCCATTTCATAAGTAGAAAATAACTTGCTGAAGGAAAATATTTTTTATAAAAAATAGTTTATAAAAAAATTTAACATTTTTTATTATTTGGATAAATTGTTGAAAATGTTTTTTTTTTGTTGTTTGGATTATCCTGTAGGAAATATTTTTCACATCACTGGTTGAGTTGTTTGGGTATTAAAATACTAAATAAGAGTTAATTATAAAATAATAGTGTTATTTGATTTTCACATTAAAAATAAAAATAAAAATAAAAATAGAGCAAATCAATAATGATATTTTCTAAAGCATTTAACTACATATTGTAATGAAAGTAAGCTCTAATTTTCAAAAACAAATTTTCATCTCATCATTTTTTTACCATAACATTATAAAAATATCAATATTCATCAATTGTGTAAAAAATCTAAAAACCTATATTTATAAATATTAATATAAAATATTTTTATTATAATTATTAGTAAAATTTATTCAATTTATAAATAAAAATATAAATTACATTGAATGGTTTTATTTAAAAATATTTTTTAAAATTGTGATAGTATTGAATAATTTATATTATAATATGTTAAGTTAAAATTTTTTAAATTTAAATATTAATATTTTATAATTTTTTAAAATTTTAAGTTAAATATTAATATTTATCAAATTATACTACTAAGTTTAATATAAAAATATTTTTTTACTTTTTAAAAAATATCTTACATGTGTAAAGAACGTAATACATTTTATGTGATCAATGAATATTTTTTTTATTAATTATTAAAATATTTTATATTTAAAATAAATTTTTTGAATTTTAGTAAATGAATCTAACTTTCTGCTACAATTTTACATATTCCATCAATCTAATTAAGTTAGAATTTTAGTACTAGGAGAAGGAGTACTTCTATGATGGATTCAGGTATTCTGAACTGCACTTTCTCGGCGGAGAATTTCGGTAGATATTTGTTATGAACAGGTATGATTGTGATGCGATAAAGTAAGGAGCAGCAATATAATTAAAATTGTCTTGTTCCGCAACCGCAAAGTCTATTCCCCTTCAACGTCAACAGTTCAACCATTCTGGTATTGGATATGGCTTTGTCCCACAATAAATCAACTCCCCAGTTGAATCTGGACCGTGACATTCAATATGGGCTCCACAAAACCCGTAGTTTCCAAGATTCTGACATTTGACGGTCCAGATTTAACTTGACGCATCTACAACTCCAATGCTCCTCTTTGATCCCAACAAACAGAAGTGAATATATATACAGTTCTCCTTTCTGACATTTTCGTCAGAGATGGATCTCTTCGCACATCACGTATGTAAAATTTATTGTAAATGATTCCATCCTAATTACTGACTATATGTAGTTGAAAATTAACCTATTCAATTGTTGTTTAAAACAGAGAGTAAAGTGGATAAATATGAAATCCGGAGGGTAGATATACCGACTCTGGTCTTTCAATTGGTCAACCCTCTGACAATTCTAATTTCTTAAGCTACACTCTTTGTTTCGTTTTTCGCCTTTGAATTCTAAAATACATGCGAGCGAGACCTTCGCTCCAAGGATCTGATGGATTAAAACTTTCGTCATCGACCAATTAGTAGATGACACAGCATCCACAGGATTATGACAACATGAGACATGTCGACACCATGCCAATGTTGGGTTGAAGCCATAATTAACTTTCACTGTGACGCCACGAGAGTTTTATCCGTCACTGGATATCTCATCACTCATTTGCAATGTAGAAGAAAATTCGTGACTACCGCCGGGCCCACACTGTTACCAGATATGGGCCCAGAAGGGGGTTATGTATGGGTTTTATATATATATATATATATATATATATATATATATTCATTCTTGATTTATAGAGGAAAAGAGGATGCATTTATAATCGATATAGACAATCCGTTCCAGAACTTTAGACTTCGTAAATATATTTTAGAAAATGACTAAAATATGTATGTAATAAAATGAATAAAATCAGATAAAATCTTTTCCTAGAACCACTTTAATTTACAATATTGAATATTATGTTTTCGGTAATTCTGACACTTGATTCTCTCTCATCCTCTTGTTTAGACTGTTAGTACTTCCTTTTCATTTCTTCTTGAGAAATTCATATCTCTTTCCTTTTTCAAACCAGAAGAGAACAAAGCTCCTCATTCCAAGAACCCCAAAATTTATTAGATTTCTTTTCTTTATAAAATTTTACGCATGTTTAACTTCGTTATTTCTCAAGGATGTTGAAATGTTATAGAATTGTCATACTTTATCTTTCACATTAGGATAATTTATTTAATCCTCGTGCTTTTAGAACTATATGCTTGTTATTATTCAGGTTTCGACAGCTTATTTGATGATTCATCGATTAATGTATTTTTTTATTTTATTTTACAGTTATGATAAAGTAAAGGAAAAGCATTCTAAATCAAGAGGTCAGCCAAAACCTACATCGGGACCAATGTCTACATTGGCGGAAGCTACCTCTTTGGTTGATCGATCGACGTAGCTAGGGATAACCTCGGCCCTTGTTTCTAGTGGATCTTGAGGCACATATAAAGGTGACAATGGGGTGGTACCTTTGCAACGTTGAGGACCGGATGGCTTAACGTAAGATTATGAATGCCCCACAAAGGTTACACCTGCCTCCTGAGATTAGGTATGTGAGCTTGTTAGCTTATAATTAATTATATACTTCAATATCTAATGACTTTCTTTTATCATGTTTCTGTACTTTCCTAAAAATAAAGGTCACCACATCAATTACTAGAACAATTAAAAATTACTTCAATATATAGTTTATGGCCGACATGGAAAAAAGTGCTTGATGAAATTGAGGAGTTAATGTGGAAGAAGTTTGAGATAATATGTGTCGTTAAATTAAATAGATAATTTTTGTTTCACCCATATGCATAAATTAAGATTCTGATCATAATCTTTTATAATAAGATAATTTTACGTAGCTTGTAGAAAAGGCTGTACTGGTTCGACGTATATGGGAAAAGGTATGTAAGAATCAATTGAAAGACAGGCTGGGGTAAAAAGGAAAAAATATAGTGACAGAGGTTGATGTCACTGACGTTATAAAGACTGCAAAGGCATGTCTAGGCCATGGATATCAACCGAATTTTAGAATGCCCTAATTGATAATGAATGAGGTATATATTGATAAATGGGGTATATTGAAGTATACAAGCAGTTCAATACCTTTACTAGATCATGCAAAGAGGCTCATACGAACTATTTTTACTCAATTCCTTAAAAATTTCTATATGACCTTCGTTTACTTATTCCTATTTACCCTAATGACATTGGAATGCACTGTAAACTACAAGACAAATGATATCATGTTTTAAATCTTTTGCATGTCAATGACAAACACATATAGCATATATTTGCATTTTACAGGGAGTTAATTAAAGATTTAAAATAAAAGAAATGCATTTAGGTAAGGTTTTTTTCGTTGACCATCCACATACTTAAATTGTTAATTATTTGACATTACTATAAATGAATAAAGGCAACCCAGTTGGAACGACATGCCATGTTCATTGAAGTGTTCAACCGCACGTATAAAACATGTAAATAAAATAAATACTACTCAAGGCAGAATTATGAAATTTCTAACGAGTTTGTAGAAGAAAATTAAAATATATTACAAATTGAAACTACCAGAGCAAAGAATGGAGTGAGCAAA